CTGGGCTCCTGGCCATGGTGGACACTGACCTGTGGAACTATGGCCTGGGATAAAGTATCTCCACAGCCCTTCTAGCTAGTAGGCACTGTATAAGTGTTTCAAGGATGAAACCTTGTGATGTTAACATGGCCAGCAAGCATTAAGACCAAGGCCCTGAGAGTGATGACACATCAGAATAAAAGCAGGACCCCTTAGAGTGGGATAGTCTCCCCTCACTGCTCCAAGGCTTCCAACTAAAAGCCTAGCCACGATCTGCTGTCACAGGAAGCAGCCAGGGAGGTAAGGCTTGCCCTGAGATGTTTCCACAGGCCCATGGATTTCAGGGGCACAAATGAAAGGGTGATGCTCAAGGCAGAGAAGAAGAGGTATGTGTGCACCCCCTGATGCTGGTCAACAGAGAAAGGAATGTGGTCCCAGTGGAAAGTTGTGGTTTGGGAAAAATGGAGGGCCCTGGCCTCTCAGGTGCACCCCTTAGACGGCCATACAAAGGCCATTCTAGAGGAATGCTATCCAAGTGGGTGTGGAAGCAGGGGCAGGAGCCACAAGATGGAGAAGGGAGGAAGCGTCTGTTCTCATAAGCCCTTGTTCCAGCTGCACCCACCCGGCGCTCTTATCCCTCTCCTTTCTCAAATAAAGGATTTTAAGAGACCAGACAGTCCAAGTTTTTTTTATTAAAAGGGTCCTGACTAGCTGATTTTCCATTGTATTTCTGTGCCAGTCGTGCTCCAGCCGTCTCTGGAGGTGCCGGGTGGCTGGGCCTGTGCAGGCAGAGGTTACTGGTCTCCATTCTGCATGGCAGGAGTCCCCTGGCTCTTCAGGGATTCCCTGCCAGCCTGCCTGCCTTCACTTCAGCACTGTCGCCTGCAGGTCCAGCTCATTCCCACTACACAGCTGCCCGCTTGCTCTCTATAATTTCCCTCCAATTGTCACTCCAGGAGAGCAGACGTCTCCTTGAAGGGGGCAGGGCCAGGTGCTGATTGTGACAGCAGGTGAACAAGATGTGCTCCCAGCTTGGGGTTTCCTCTAGGCCTAGGAAGGAAAGGCATGGAACATGTAATCTGGTTATTTTTACCCTCTACCTAATCCAGGCAGGCCAGATGCCTGGAGGTTGCCAAGGATAACAGGTCCAACCTTGAATGGTGTCCTTATCATCAATGAGCAGATCTCCCAAGACCACAGTCTTGTCTCTTGTCAGGATAATGCGCTCCACAAACTGGGGTCCCAGGTGTCGCTCGACCCAGCGGTACTGTATGGGAGACAGGTCAGTCAGCGGGGCCTGAGGAACCCTGCGTCCAGAGACAGCGCAGAGTGAGTGGGAGTCCTTGAAATGTTTCTCCTTCCCCCAGCCCCCACCAGGGGAGGCCAAAGCTGGTGCTGTCTTCATGGGCTGACTTGATTTTCAAAATCATGATCTGGTAAGCTAAGTTAGCTCAGGCGGCCGCACCTTCTCACCCACACAGTGGTCAAACTTCAGCAGAGGGCTGGAGCAGATGAAGACCTCAGTGCTGCAGAGAAGGGGGCCCAGTTAGATCCGCAGAAGCCACCGCTGTCCCGCGGGCGTCACCGCCCCTCCCTCCTTACTCTGGCATGGCGTTCATCTCCCGCAAGGCTTCCAAGGCCCCCGGGATGGGCTCCAAGTCTAAGAAAAAGCCTGGGGCTTCATACACGCTGGCCACTTTATCCTGCAAGAGAAGAGTTCTCGGTCCTGGCCTCGCCTCCAGCAGATGGAGCCCCGGAGACATCTCCATTAAGCTCCCCAGGCCGGGGCTTCGGGGAGAGGAGGGTCGCGGAGGGTGGTGGTCGCGGAGGGTGGGCGGGCACTCTCCCGACCTTTCCTGTCCCGGGGTGAATTATGGGTGCAAAAGTGGGAGTTTTGTTCATTTCAAACAAAAGGGGTGTCCCCGGAATGAAGCCCAGGAGCTCCTGTCCAAGCGGCGTGGCTCCGGGCTCCGTGTCTTACCGCCAGGTCGGGCCGCAGGGCTCGGTACTGCTCGCTGGCCAGGAAGCCGCGGCGCTGCTCCAGCGGCACGTGCGGCTCCCCGGGGAAGCGGCGGTGGAAGCCCCGCAGGAGGCCGGCCTCGAAGTCGGCCAGCACGCCGTCCATGTCCACCAGCACACGCACGGGCCGCGCGCGCTGCGCTGCCATCGCCTCCAGGCTGCGGGGGTCTTGGGGTCTCGAGGGTCTCGGGGTCTCGAGGGTCTCGGACCCAAGGGGCTGAGCCGGCCGGAAGCGCGGAGCGCCGGGCGCCGAGTGCCGCTGCTTCCGGGCCGCGAGCCGTGGGCGGAGCCCAGTTAGACTAGCCCGGCTAATTTGCATAGGCCGCAGGTGGGGACGCTGGGCGACACCCGGCACAGGTCCTCAAACCTGTCTTCCTGTCGACCTGCGGTGGCAGGAACCCCTTCTGGAATACCAGGGCAGGACGGCTGAAGGCGATCTCTTTTATGATCCTCAGCTTTTTCGTGACCCACCCTTCGTCCTCCCAAAAAAGGCACGATCTAAAATACTGGAAGTTATCTTCTTTTTTTCTCCCCCGTCCTTTTTTCTCTGTACTGGAGGTTGAACCGGTGTCGTTTTACCACTGAGCTATATCCCCAAGCCCTTTTCATTTCTTGAGACACAGCCTCGCTAAATTGCCCAGGCTGGCCTCAGATTTGTAATCCTCCTGCCTCAGCCTCCCGAGTCGCTGGGTTTACAAGAGTGCACCACGGTGCCCAGCCTGTGAAGCACCTTCTAACAAGGAAGCAACGCGTTTAAAATCTGTGGGCCTGGCTGCACATATTAAATTCGAAGTCTGAGGCCACCGACAGTTCTGCCCTAACTGCTTGACGAGGCTGGATGCAGAGACCCCAGACCAGAGCCCCTGATGCTTGAAGACCTGGATCATGGGGGCTGCGCGTTAATGTGAAGTGAATGAAACTGTTGAAGGTAATGGGGTCTGTGAGTCGATTATTTTTGTAGCACTGGGCACTGAACCGGGGCTAGGCAAGCATCTTACAGGCCCAGCCTTACCAGAATAGGTTTGAAACATGGGAGAATATAGTTCAAACCTCCTGTTCACTTGGGGAGGCGATTTCCTTCAAGCACTGCTAATCAGGGCTGTTCTTTCTCTGGAAATGGCACATACAGCAGAAGCCTCTATCATCCTTCCATCTGATGTTCTCCATCTGAGGACCCTGCCACTCCCACACCAATGGGTCAAAAGCATCACATAGGGGGAGCCTGATCTAAGGTGAGTCAGTTTCAAACTGTGCAAGAGGCAGGAAGCATTAAGCCAGATGTACTCAGTGCCCAACTGTGTCTTTGGCCTCCTTCACCAAGGTACTTCAGTCACACAAACAGGCCAAGAGGTCTGCCAATGAAGTTGCTCCTTGGGTAACTTAGTAGTCATCTTGTCACGGTTTAAAGATCAAAAAACTTCACTTTCCAGAGTAGCAATTGAACACCCATAACACATTCCAGTGCTAAATCTGTTCTATAGTCCCAAAGTGACTGGCTCAACTGTTCCCCACCCCAGAACAGCTTTCATTTTAAGTGTTTGCTTATCTTCATAGAACAAAAAATTAAAAACAACTATCAAGTGGTGACAAAAACCAAAGACCTTTCTTTTCCAGGAGCCCCACCCTTACTAATAGGAAGAGAAGGGTGCAGTTTCCCTCCTTTTCAGGTGGATGGTATAAGCCTATACTGGTATAGGCCAGTATTTATAGGGCTAGCCGGTTTCAATATACTGATGACTGATTTATCTGGTATTCCCTTATTCTTCCAAAAGATGTGCCTAGTACTTCCAAAGTCTCATTTTGCCAATGAGGAAACTGAGGCCCAGAGGAGCACGGCAGGTTAGTAGCATGGGTGACGCCAAAACAGGCCTTACTGCCTGCTTTGGACATTTGACATGTTGACCTGGAACCTTCTGCCTAGACCCCAAAGAGCACTTGTGGGGCCTTGGCCACCACCACTTTCTGATTATGTGGACACTTCCTTTGTTGTCCTCTTCTGTTTAACCACCACGCCCTCTTGATAAGGACCTCACAAAATGGAAACAAAGTTTTTAATCTTGTTGCTGGGGATTGCACCCAGTGGTGGCTCCACCCCTGAGCCACACCCCAGGCCTTGTTTTAATTTTGATATAAGGTCTGGCTAAATTGCCCAAGCTGGCCTTGAACCTTTAAACCGCTTCAATTAATCCAATCATTGGACAGGATTATAGTGGCAAAGAAAAAAGTAAAAGGAAGGACACTGAAACAATATGAAAGAGACACAGGACACAATGTTTCAAAATGTGGGCATTGTTTACTGTAAGCAACAGTCCAGGATCGGGAGGTACAACACACATTTTAAAGATGAGACTTTCATTTCATGGTCAAGCACCAGCATCATGCACACAGCGTCAAGTTACTTAGTAAGAACAGTGCCCCTGTGGGACCCGCTCCTGCATGGGGCCACCCGTGTGCTCGCCTCCCTGGCTTGCGTCACCACTTCATCCTGGTGGCTTGACTGTGCGTCTGAAGCCGTCCTCTTGCTCATAGGCCAGCCAGCCATGTTAGTACCTGGCTCACTTCTGAAGGTTAAAAAAAGGCAGCTTCTTTGCTTTCAGGCAGCGGGTTGTGAGGCTCAGGCCTCTTCCATATGGCACAGGAAGATGCTTTAGCTAAGGGCACTGAGAGAGTAGGGCAGCGCCACAGAGAAGCTCTGCATACAGACCATGTGTGTGGTGGGGCTGCCGGGGTGGTGCCTGTGGACTGCAGAAGGTCTGTCCAACCATGGTAAACCCAAGAACAGTGCGTCAAAAACCTCATACAAAAGAGCCTCTACCACATCAGGAACCAAATGATTTGTTCTTAAAAACACGGTACTAAGTGTCACAAAGCTTTCCCTTCGATCTACTACTAGAAAACACTCATGCCATGGCCCACAGACCCAGGAGTCAGACAGAGAAAGAGAATCCTGTTCTTCAAAAAGAAAAAGGAGGAAGAAAACGAACAAACAAAAAAGACAGCAGTACATAAAGTGCTTCTTTTTAATGAAACAAATTCAAAAGATATAGAGTCAGGCTCAAGTTGTGCAGTTCACAAGCATGAAGAAAACAAACAAACAAAATGACAGAGTTCAGGACAGTCAGTTAACCCAAGACCAGGCTGGACTTGCCACCAGGAGGGTTTCTTCTGGATGGTGCAGGGGCCGCGGCCACGGGGCTGGGCACAGGCGCCGCGGGCACAGGCTTCTCTTCACTCTGCCCCAGGCTGCCTTGCAGGTCTGTGTCCATGTTTTCTGGGAAAACGGAACAGAGATGAACCTAATAGTTATTTCTGGATAAGACAAAGAGTCTCAAATTTATTATTTTCATGGTTTAAAACATATTGAAAAGTAGTAGAAAAACTCAGCCAGACATGGTGACACGTCTGTAATCCAAGCAACTGAGACAGGAGAATTGCAAGTTCAAAGCCAACCTCAGCAACTTAGTGAGATCCTGCTCAAAATAAAAAGTAAAAGGGCTGGGAGGTGGCTCAGTGGTATAGCACCCTGGGTAAATCCTTAGTGCCACCAAAACAAACAAACAAACAAACCACCCATCAACCATGATCCTACTGTCCAGAATTGATCAGTCTTATGTTTTGTCACATCAGTTCAGTGTTTTGCTTAGGTACTTCAGTCTGAACCCAAACCCCACCCCTTTTTACTTTTTGAGACAGCAAGATTTGCCCAGGCTGGCCTTGAACTTGAGATCCTCCTGCTTCAGACTTCCAAGTCACTGAGATTACAGGCATGCACCACTGTGTCCAGTTGGTGATTCCTATTCAAATGAACTGGGCACTTCCTACTTTTAACACCATAAGCATGAGTAGTAATATCCACTACAGCACATATTGCTCAAGTCACTGACTGATTTGTGGATTCCCAACAAGTAGACTTTTTTGTGTGTGGTTCTACAGATTTAACCCAGGGGTGCTCTACCACTGAGCCACATACCCAGTCCTTTTATTTTTTATTTTGAGACAGAGCCTCTCTAAGTTATTGAGGCTGGCCTCAAATATGTCATCCTCCTACTCTGGCCTCTCCAGACACGGAGATTACAAGTGTGCCCCATTGTACCCAGCTAACAAGTATATATTCTCAGTTGTCTTATTAGCAAATAGATTGCAAACACAGAAAATTAATTTCTTCATATGAATTCAAGAGTGACTGCAAAAACAAAAAACAACAATCACAATTTTTAAAATCCCTTATTTTTATTAATAAATAAGTAAACTTAATGTTTACTAAAAGTATTAACTTTTTTAAATTTATTTTTTTAGTTGTAATTGGACATAATACCTTTATTTTATTTATCTATTTTTATGTGGTGCGGAGACTCGAACGCAGGGCTTCCCACTCAGTAGTAGGCGAGCGCTGTACCGCTGAGCCACAACCCCAGCCCATACTAAGAATATTAATATTTTAAAGCATATTAAACATTAAATTTTGAGTGGCAGGCTTATTTCAGCATTAAATCATCAAACTAAAATTAGTTGCATCTTCTACAACCATAGATAATTGTACACATTCCACAGAAGTCCTTTTTCAATAATTTGCCAAAAAGACCAAACAATAAAAAAAAAAAAAGATTGCTGTGTTATTATGACCAAGGCATTAGGAAGGTCCTTCTTCACTAACCAGCAGTACGTGGAACTACAGCAAAGTGTCGTCCTCCCTTTTCTGCCTGGCAAGTGGACCAGTGTCTTCTTATGTTGCAATTATAATGAAATTCAAAGTGAGTGCGTCTGCTCCACAGAACTCCTGCACCCTGGGCATGTTCAGTGTCTGTGCTGTCCACTGCAGCCACACATGGCTCCACTCAATCCACGGCCACTGGGTCAGGAGTTTTAATTTGTCCGAGTCAAAGTTTAAATATACACAGCCATGTGTAGGTTGTGGTAACAGAACAAGCAGCACAGTGTTAGCGGAATACACAGGGCTGGGTGTAACCCTAGCACCTCGGAGGGTCAGGCAGGAAGATCGCAAGTTCAGGGACACCCTTAGTAACTTAGCCTTAGCAACTTGTCAAGACCCTATGTCAGAAAGCCGGGTGCAGTGGCTTACGCCTATAATCCCAGCAGCTCGGAGACTAAGGCAGAAGGATTGTGAGTTCAAAGACAGCCTCAGCATTGGTGAAGTGCTAAACAACTCGGTGAGACCCTGTCCCCAAATAAAATACAAAACAGGGTTGGGGATGTGGCTCAAGTGGGTCAGTGCCCCTGAGTTCAATCCACAGTACAGAAAAAAAAAAAAAAAAGACCCCATGTCAAAAATAAACCATAAAAAGACTGGGGGTGCCAGGCACAGTGGCTCACGTCTGTAATCCCAGCAGTTTAGGAGGCTGAGCAGGAGGATTGTGAGTTCAAAGCCAGCCTCAACAATGGTGAGGTTCTAAGCAACTCAGTGAGACCCTGTCTCTAAACAAAATACAAAATAGAGCTGGGGATGTGACTCAGTGGGCCAGTGCCCCCGAGTTCAATCCTCGGTACCCCCCACCCAAAAAAAATAGATTTTTAAATGGACTGGGGGCTCAGTGGTAAAGTGCCCTCAGATTAAATCCCTGGTATCCCTCTAAGAAAAAGAAAAATTAAAAACAGCAACAGACCATTAATTCAGCCTAAAACACTAACACAATGTTTCAATTAAAGTTTTTTCATTTCCGCTAGGTGGCCTTGGCCTCATTCTACATATACAAGATCTAACTGAACCCTCCATTGTCTGACTGGATCAAGGAGTCAATGAATATTCTGAAGGACAAAAAAATCCCACAGCTCTCCCACTGGAGTTAATTTTCATAAAAGGCTCATCCCACGAATCTCCTAATTGTCTTACATCATTAAAGGAAGTGTTTTATTTTTCACATAGATAATAATATGCTAAAAATGAAAAGGAAAATAGAAGCTCTGGTGCAGACCAAAGAAAGCAGCCCAGGTCTTAAGGGCAGGGCTTGTTTGTCAGGTTAGAAACACTGTGGCCAGAAGAGGGCAGCTTGTTTGTTACCAGTCTGTAATGAGATAAATAGAGTTACTGTGACTAAACATTTAGAAACTTTTATAGCAATCTGACAGGTACTGCCTGTCCCTATTGAGTCTAATAATTATGATGTCAAAGGCTCTGAAGGAAATACTTCTCCAATTTTATACATTTTAGTACTAATTGATGGATTGTGGTACTAGGGATCAAACCCCAGGGCCTCACTCATCAAAATATATTTTATGAGCTCCTAACTTGTCTTTGTTTGGCACACCGATAATGTAACAGCACCGCACACTGACACACGCCTGTAATCCCACCTACTCAAGAGGCTGAAGCAAGAGGATTACAAGCTAGGCCAGGGGCTGGGGTTGTGGCTCAGTAGTAGAGCACTTGCCTAGCATGCGTGAGGTACTGGGTTCAATTTCCAGCACTGCATATAAAATAAAATAAATAAAAATAAAGGTCCATCAACAACTAAAAAATAAAAATGGTAGAGTGCTTGCCTCACATGTACAAGGCCCTTGGTTCAATCCCCAGCACACCCCCCCCCCAAAATAAAAAAAAACAGTCTCAAATAACTAAAAAAGGGTGGGGATGGGGCTCAGTGGTAGGGTGTTTGCCCAGCATGTGCAAGGCCTTGGGTCAATCTCCACAACTACAAAAAACTGAACAAAGACACCTGTGTCTGAATAGAAAAAATGATTCATTGTAACGATCAAAGAATCAGAACAAGAAGAAAACTAGCAGACTATCTAACTTGAAACACTGCAACAGAATTGGGGTCAACCTTTAATATACCAGATACATCTTGAATTATTATACCCTTGTCACTTTTTTTTTTTTTGGTACTAGAGATTGAACCCATGAATGCTCTACCACTGAGCTACTTTCCCAGCCCTTTTCCATTTTTATTTTGAGGCAGGGTCTCACTAAAATTCTGAAACTGGCCATTCTGCCTCAAGCCTCCCAAATTGGTGGGATTATAGACACGCGCCCCAGTGCCTGGCTGCCCCTTGTCAATTCATGACAAAGGAACTAAAAGTTGTAGCAGTCAGGAATACAGAATAAGCAGGTAATAAAATTGATGGCCATTGTTTAAAAAAAGAAAAATTAAAAGGGAGAACTTGTCATAGCATACAACTCAATATGCTATTTATCTAAAGAATCAATAATGAACTGAGCTGGAGAAGGAAGCACAGGGAACAGAATTACTTGGTAGGACAAATAACTTACACCATTTGTATCTTCATGAGGATTCACTCACTTCTCCGGGCTCCCCAAATCATCCCCCGCCTTCTTTCCCAGTACTAGGGATTGAATCCAGGGCCTTGCAAATGCTAGGCAAGTGTTCTAGCCCTGAACTACATCCTTAGCCCTTTTATAAGATTTTTATTTTGAGAAAGGGTCATACTAAGTTGCTGAGGCTGGCATACACTTTCGATCCCTCCTGTCTCACCCTCATGAGTCGCTGGGATTACAGGTGCATACCACCACCACCATACCTCACACTTTTTTTTTTTAAGACAGAGTCTCACTAAGTTGCTGAGGCTGGCTTTGAACTTGAGATCCTCCTCTCTCAGCCTCCAAGTCACTGGGATTAGAGTTGGGTACCATAACACAAGGGCCATATCTTCAGTTATATCCACTGGCCCTAGTCAGTAAACAAATATTAGCTGATTCTGCTACATTCAGTCTTACAGTTGAAGTACTGGGAGGATGAAAAGCAAGACTGCAAAGTCTAGATTTCACCTCCAAAATAGTTTTCCAAATTACATAAACTGAACACAAACAGTAACTGACACAACTTCATCTTGGGAAAGAGTGACTGGTCTGATTGAAGGCTCAGGAGCTTCTCCTGTTATCACATCCACCAGGAAAGACTGAGAGGCAGGAGAGGAACTTGGTTCCATCACAACCCCAGCCCCAAAACAACTATTCACTGTAGGGTTGTTTTCTTTTTTTTTTTTTTTTTTTTGTGTGTGTGTGTGTGTGTGCTGGGGATTGAACCCAGGGCCTTGTGCATGTGAGGCAAGCTCTCTACCAACCGAGCTATATCCCCAGTCCACATGCTACATCACAAAACATAACAGTAGGAAAAGGCTCTTCAGGGCCTGTGACTGTGTGTGTCACCAGCAACTTGACTGACTGTTGCAGTGACACCTGTAAGCCTTAGAGTACTCATCAGCACTGTTCTGGCCCTTGTAATAAGAGGTGCCAATAAATACTTCAAAGATTTAAAGTAATTAAGCAAATGATTACAGCTCATTTCCACCTATAATTGGTAATGTGGATGACTAACTGGAAATTTACATCTGCCCCCCAAATCACCACTTACAAAATCACTTGAGGGTAACTAATGTCTTACAAATAAGTACCTCAATATAAAATCAAATGAACTTCGCAAATGGAATGCCATGAGCTGAACTGGAAATTCTAGTCTTTTATTAATTAAAAACGTCCTAGCAGCTGGGCGTGGTGGAACACCCCTGTGATCCCAGAGACCTGGAAGGCTGAGGCAGGAGGATGGAAAATTCAAAGCCAGCCTCTACAACTTAGCAGGAACCTATCTCAAAAAAAGTAAAAAAATTTAAAGAGGGGGATGGAGCTGGTAAGGGTTAGCTCAGTGGTATGCCCTTGGGTTCTCCAGGTCTTTTTCTGTCTAGGTTTCCAGCATTCTTCACTGCTAGCAGATTTAAAATGTGGCCATGTTTACTAACTTTCTAATTTTTTTGTTCTTCTCCCTCCGCCCAGAGTATGATGATGGCACTTTCTTGGGGCACACCCAGTTCTCTTTCACCAAGACATGATTTGAATTACAATTCAGATCTGTCCAAAAAGCATTATAGAACCAAAAAACAATTTAGTCTTTAGAAGTACTCACCATGAATGTCACCTTCACCCTGCAAAAGAAAAAGATTTAAAAATTTACAATTTTGCATCACAAAAATCTAACTGTCTAACTCAGAGTAGCTAACATCTATTTGAAATCAAATGTCAAATCCTATTCTGATGCAATCAAGCACAGAGTCAGGTGGAGACCTTTATTTAACTGAGAACAATGCCATACAGCAATCCTGCACAATAAATTTCACAACTAAACACCAAAAACAACAAACAAAAAGCAAAACATTTGCTCTGATGACCTGACACCAACTAACATTTCAAATGAGATAGGCACATTCATGGTGGCATGGCCACAGACTGACACCAACTAACACTTCAGAGGATCTTCCATCAGAATGGGAATGGGCAAACCCACCCTTCTGTTTGTCTTTTTCTCCTTATCTGGCTTTGAAGGACCCTCTAAGCCCCAGAGTCCTCAGACAGCACTCCCTACACTCCAGTGCTTCAATATGCTTGAGGCCACTAGCCAGGAGGACTTCCTACTGGGGGGCTCGGTGGCAGTACTCATCTGCAGACACCTGATGGTGACTCCAGGGGTCCAGTCTGTAGTTCACCTCAAGGTGACACTGGAAAACAGCTGCAACCATCCTTCAACTCAGATGTGCTCCTCTTAAAGAGAGAGAGGGAGCGAGACCCACAGGCTCCCAAAGCCAATGGTGGTGAAGGGCCTACAGCCGACTCTACTGGTCAGAGCCACCTGGCACGCTGAGTCACTTTTCTGACCTACTTTCTACTTAGGGGTCTTCCATCAGCAAGATGACCCAGTCCCTTTTTTAGTTATTGTGACCAACCATTGCGGCAGCAGTACTGAAACTCTTAGTAAACAAAGGGGCAATTTAACTTCTCACCCTCTCTGCCCTGGGCCTGGCTTTCCTAGTGGGTAGTGGGTCACACTGACCTTCAGCTCTAAGAAGTCTCCAGAGCTTGCTTCAGTTGAGTTCCTCCTCTGTGGTCCAGATGACTCCAGATCTTCCCTGCCACCACTAGACTTGGCACCTAGAAACCAAAATACAATACTTTTCTTGAGGAATACAACAGAAATGCCAAAATAAAACACCTCCGTACACATCCTAACCTAGACTCTCAGTCTGACTGCAGTTCTCATTCCGATCCACCACATACATTCATAGTTCCCAGCTCGCTCTTCTCAAGTTAAACTTCAGCAGCTGTTCATTACCATTAAACTAGTACTAGCCAGCTGGGCTCATCTCTGCTGGCCCAGCCCTCCAGTGACCACACACGAAAGTAGTACCTGCCGACTTGGCCCAAGAAGGGGGATTTTCTTCAGGTGTCCCAAAGATGCTAGAGGCCATTTTATTCTTCCTCACAGGCTGTTCTGTTGGTTCATCAAAGCCTAATGAGAAATTGGATCCACCACCTGGAGGCCGCAAAACCCTGGAAATTATGGCAAAACATTAGTTTCAAATCATACCAAAGCATTTCTTGGCATAAATATTTTCTTGTATCTTTTGTTTCTTTTTCCACACCCATTCTTCCTCCCTTACTGCTGCCCCAAAGAGAGCTGTTCATGGAAAAAGGAAACAACTCATCCTGGTACGAATTCAGTGCTGAATGTTAAGATACCAAGTACTCCCCTGTGTGGGAGCACATGCCTGTCATCCCAGCTACTTGGAGGCTGAGGCAGGAGGATTGCAAATTCAAGGCCAGCCTCAGCAACTTAGCGAAACTCTGTTTCAAAATAAAAAATAAGCCAGACACAGTGGCACACACCTATAATGCCAGAGGCTTGGGAGGCTGAGACAAGAGGATAGCAAGTTCAAAGCCAGCCTCAGCAAAAGCAAGGTGCTAAGCAATTCAGTGAGACCCTGTCTCTAACTCAAATACAAAATAGAGCTGGGGGTGTGGCTTAGTGGTCAAGTGCCCCTCAGTTCAATCCCTAGTGCCCCCCAAAAAAATAAAAAATAAAAATAAGGACTGGGGATGTGACTCAGTGGTTAAGCACCCCTGGGTTCAATTCCCCATACCAAAAAAAAAAAAAAAAGATTCCAAGATAAAGTACTAGTTTAGCACATTTCACAATTAGAGTCACTGCCTGGTTGGTTTCCCTTTTTCAGAAATGGTAAGAGACCAAATAGCCCTTGCTCTACTGGGCTTAACTGACTATACCTGCAAACAAGTTTAGAAGAACATTTTATCGTTTATTCATTTGAAAGTCATTTCCATTTTATTTTCAACTAAATGAAAAAAAAAAGGAAGAATATACACATAGAAGTTACCTGGACCAGTTTAGAAGCCAAAGGAGAGTTCAACAGTATCAACTACCTCCATAGCACCCATGAGCCTGCTTATGTATTTGTACTCCACTATGCTCAATAATAAACACGGATGATTAGCCACAAGGGCCAAGTTGATATGAGAAATTAAATGTGCAATTCCACAGCATGTTCTGTACCCATGTTCTTCAGGATGGCACCCACGGCTTTCTGTTTCACTTGGAAATACAGACTGTACACATTTCCAGATCTTCTTGCCATGGGTTGATCAATTTGTCTCCTCCCTGCAAAAACTCAACTCAACTCCCCTTGCCACCTCTCAAAACAGAAAATTGATGCCTGTAATCCCAGCAGCTCAAGAGGCTAAGGCAGGAGGATCCTAAGTTAAAAGCCAGGCTGCTAGTGAAGCCCTAACCAACTTAGCAAGACTCTGTCTCAAAAGACAAAAAAAAAAAAGGGAGGTGGGGGTTGGGGTTCAGTGGTTGAGCACTCCTGGATTCAATCCCTGGCACACAAAAAAAAAGACAACTGAGATGGTTTCATGAGACAACTTTCTAACTACTGATTCATTTCCTTTACTGGGGATAGGAGCAGTATGGTTTTCTTTTTCTTTTTCTTTTTTTAATATTTAAATGTAGTTGGATACAATACCTTTATTTCACTTATTTTTATGTGGTGCTGAGGATCGAACCCAGGGTCTCGCAAGTGTGAGGCAAGCGCTCTACCACAACCCCAGCCCAGTATAATGGTTTAAACACTGTCTCTTGCCAGGTGCGGTGGCATACGCCAGTAATCACACTAGCTTGGGAGGCCGAGACGGGAGGATCAAAGCCAGCCTCAGCAATAGCAAAGCGCTAAGCAACTCGGTGAGACCGGCTCTAAATACAAAATAGGACTGGGGATGTGGCTCAGTGGTCAAGTGCCCCTGAGTTCAATCCCTAGTATCAAAAAAAGAAAGAAAGAAAGAAAAAGAAAGAAAGAAACACTCTCTTGCTGGCTGTGGTGGCATATACCTTGTAATCCCAGCAACCCAGGAGGCTGAGGCAGAAGAATCTCAAGTTCAAGGTCAGCCTTGGCAGCTTAGCAAAATAAAATAAATAAAATAACAAGGGCTGGGGATGTAGCTCAGTGGTAGAGCACCACGGATGCAATCCCCAGTACCACAAACAAATCTAAATAGCTCCCAAACATTAAAAATCCAATCTTGAAGCTGGGCACAGTGGTCCATCCCTCCAGTCCCAACTACTGGGGAAGCTGAAGCCAGAAGATCCCTTGGGCCCAGTAGTTTGGGGCCAGGAAAAGAAATAAGAAAATTTCTGACCTACCCTTGTGCCACAGTAGGTCATAAGACCTTCCTCATTCCAGCAGGGTCCTGCCCAGAAACCAGAATGCTGAAGCAGACAGGGCTGCTGAGTTTCCCGTCTACTACCAGTAGATTACACCCTTTTTGACCAATCCCACTGCAACACAGTTATTCATGCTTCAATCAAGCCCATGCAATGAAGTCTCCATGAAAACCCAGGACAGAGTTCAGAGAGCTTCCAAAGCTAAAACATGGAGGCTCCTGGATGGTGGCACAATCATTGAGGGCATGAAGTTAGGCATCCCTTTGCCACACCTTGCCCTATGCATTTCTTCCTGTCTGTCCCTTGTAGTATCCTTCACAAAAAAAAAAAAAAAAAACAGGAAGTAGAAGCAAATATACCCCTGAGCTTCATGAGCTGCACTAGCAAATTAAATGTGAGGAGGGGTTTATGGGAAATTCGACTTACAGTCAGTCAGAAACATAGATAAAAATAACCTGGAATTTAAAGAGGGGTTGAGGCCAACTTGGGGGCTGAGCACTTGATGTGTGTGGGATCTGATGCTGAAGACAGCATCAAAACTGAGCTGGATTAGGGGATACCCAGCTGCAGAACTGCTTGTTTGCCTGTCAGTGGGGAAAGCACCACACCTTCTGAGGTCACTGAAGTCTTCTGTGCTGACTGCTGTGGTTTGAGTTCTATTCAGACTAGCACACAAATGCAATTTAAAACTAAGGATCCTGGGGCTGGGGATGTGGCTCAAGCGGTAGCGCGCTCGCCTGGCATGCGTGCGGCCCGGGTTCGATCCTCAGTACCACATACAAACCAAGATGTTGTGTCTGCCGAAAACTAGAAAATAAGTAAATAAATATTAAAATTCAAAAAAAATAAAATAAAATAAAAATAAAACTAAGGATCCGGGCTGGGGTTATGGCTCAGCGGTAGAGTGCTTGCCTAGCACGTGCAAGGCCCTGGGTTCAATCCTCAGCACCACATAAAAATAAATAAATAAAATAAAGGTATTCTGTACATCTACAACTAAAAAATAAATAAATCTAAGGATCCGCAGCCCACACTGAAAGCCAGCCACTTGGAAAGCTGAGGCAGGAGGCTGTCACTCAGTACTTGCCTACCACGTGGGAGACCCTGGTTCAATCCTATAAAGGTCAGGCAGAAAAAAGAAAAAGGATATATCATTTGATTAGATTGGGAAAATGGGATGTAAAAAGCCAACATTCAGCATTATGGTATGACAGTATAAAATTTGTACAAACTTTCTAAAGGGAACTTTGAAAGTTATCCTATGTCTCGGTTTTCTCCTCTGTAAAATGAGGATAGTAATATCTACCTCATAAGACTATTATTATAAGGGTATCATTTCATCTGCAACATGGCAATCATGCACATTAGTTATTATAACCATATAAATGTCACCACAACTAAGTTACCTGGAGTGCCTACTCACTAATGCAATTTCAGGTGATTCTTGAAGTCTTTTTTACACTTGATGTTTTTCTGAGTTTTTACTAATCTAAAATTCTTTTAAAAACTGTTTCTGAGTTCCAGAAATTCCTACCAGTGTTTCTCTTGACAATACTACTTTTTCCCACTGTCCATTCTAAACGATCATTCATTCACCAGTGGGCACCTGTGTCCATTCCGGATCCCTAGACAGAAATCCTGACTTCTCAGCTCCCTTGCATTTAGGCTGGTACCCCAGCCTCAGCACCCTAACACTGCCACCTTACTGAACCCACACACTGTCCATTCCCGCACCAAGGGGAGACCCCTGCCCTGCCTCTCTTTGTGTCAGGCTCCACAATCCAGCAGATGCAATCAAGATGGATCCAACCTCCTCCCTCCCAACCAAGTCCTGCTACTTTCTTCACTCTTTGGCAGTTTAGCTCCAGCAAGGGCCTTTGCTAGCCTATTTCCTCCAGCCTGGACTAGGCTCCACCTTTCCCTCAGTTCCTACTCAAATTCCAGTCCATCTCTGAAACTGCAACCTCCTTGAGTTTGGAAAGGCAGCCAGAACAGCAGGGAGGACAGGGAGATTAGTGCTCCACTTCCCAGGAGCTGCCAATTCTTTTTGTAAAGGGCCAGCCTTAAATACTACTGGCTTTGTGATCAGGTCTTCCCTGAACTATTCATTGCCATGTTGCATGAAGGCAGCCACAGATGATATGAAGACAAGTGTGGCTTAAAACTCATAAAAACTTATTTATGTACACTGAAACTTTTCTTTTGTAGTCCTGGGAATTGAACTCAGGGCCCTGAACATGCAGCACCCTACCACTGAACCACATCCCTAGCCCTCTTTTATCTTGAGATAGGGTCTTTCTAAATTGCCCAGGATGAAAAAAAAATAAAAAATAAAAAATAAAAAAAATAAATTGCCCAGGATGGCCTCGAATTTGCCATCCTCCTGCTCAGCCTCCCAAATAGCTAGGATCACAGGTGCGTGCCATTATATTCATAAATCATGAATCTTGTTTTTCTCAAGTACTGAACAATGTTAACTTCATTCACAGTTCAGAGGCCTTACAGAAAGAGAGCCTGGGTCAGGCCTGCAGGAAGTCTGCTATAGGCATTTCAACATCCTCCTTCCAGGGGAGCAAGGCCTTGAGAAGCTCTAACTGTCCAGCATTAGTTAGTGCGAGTGCAAACCCCAGCCTCAGTTCAGGGCAGGCACTGAAAAGTGAGTGCTCCAATCACTTCTGTGGGGAAATCACAAAATGCCATTTTTCTCTTTAAACTACAAACCTATAGAATTATGTTTTGATAGGGGTTTTCTTGTTTTCTAAATATGCAGTCTTTCTAGCTTCCTTCCTTAAACATAAACACAATACTGAATTCACACCAATTTCATTATCTACCCACCTCAAGGTCCCACTATAGTCCTTAACCACACATAACATTTAAAACTCCATTTTTAAAAAGTCTCAGATATTGGCTGGGGTTGTAGCTCAGTGGTAGAGCACTTGCCTCAAACGCATGAAGCCCTGGGTTCAATCCTTAGCACCACATAAAAGTGAAAAAACAAATAAAGATATTGTGACCATCCATCTACAACCAAAAAAAAATTTTTTTAAAGTCTTAGATATTGGGCTAGGGTTGTGCTTCAGTGGTAGAGCGCTCGCCTAGCACGTGAGAGGCCCTGGGTTAGATCCTCAACACCACATAAAAATAAATAAATAAAGGCATTGGATCCACCTGCAACTAAAAAAATAAACATAAAAAAAGTCTCAGATATTAAATATCCACTTAAATTTATTTTATAAATTAAGATATATGTGTTCAGGCATACATTTTATAAAGATGATAATTTTAAGCTTAATTCAGTTATTTAAATCACAAGTAAAGGAATGTCATCAATTCTTAAGCTTTCTCTCTGAAGGGATTAGGTTTTTATAATTTACATCTTAAAATCAACAAAGACACTTAAAATTATTAGAATAAAAATCAACTTTCTTCATTATCCCCTTCATTCCCTAGAGATTAGAATTATTTTCTTTGCTAATCATAATTAAAACCTCATGAGTTATTTTAGCCAAATGAAATTCCTCAGAATCCTCTTTTGCTTGGAAATATTTTTGGCCTTGAAAAATAAAAAATAAAAAGAAAGAGACACTAGTACCCAAACAACAGCTTAAAAGCAAGTCAAAGCTATGGCCAGTCCAACTTTGACAGGTCAGCAGCTTTCCTCCCGCAATGGCAGGTGATACCTACTCCAATGACGTCAGTGTTGTGGAGACCATTTGTAACAGCCAGACATCCCCAAACAAAGGATTTGATCATAAGGCAAAGTATTGCAATTTTATTTTTTACTATTCTTTCTGAAACACACATATAATAACTAAATAAAGATTATCTATTTAAGAGTCAACAAAAACATGTCCACATATTAGAGAGAGTAATTTTTAAAAAATTTGCTCCTTGCTTCTCTCTTCAAATCCCTGAGTTTTCAAACGTTCTTGCAGATCATTCCCTACCACATTAAATTTATAATGAGGCTACAGAACCAGGAGAATATTACTGGAGAAAAGAAGTTTTAGGAGAATTAGGTGAGATTATAGAAGGAAAGGTGTGAAGTAAATAAAATGACAATACTACAGTACCCAGATCACAATATCAGAAAGAAAAATTATGGAAAAAATTATTTAAAACATTTATTTTACAGAACCAAAAATTATTTTTCTCATTTCAGATATACATATGAAAAACAAGCAGGATTAATTTAATCTGTGTACTAAAATTATTTTTTAATAATTTTATTTGTAGATGGACACCATACCTTTATTTTATTTATTTACATGAGGTGCTGAGGATCAAACCCAGTGCCTCACACATGCTATGCAAATGCTCTACCACTGAGCCACAACCCCAGCCCACTAGGTACCAAAATTCTTTACAAAGCACCAAACTGAACTCAACCCAAAGGACAAAACTCCAGATACACATTATCATTCCAACAACTGAAATCTGACCATGAAAAAGTTGACCTCATCACACACAATGAAAAACCAAGGTTCAATTTGTCCCAGTGTCCTCTGAAAAAAATTATCTCATTGGAAGGATGACAAGAGAAGAGGGAGTGACCAGTATTTTCTTATGTCCAACTACTAAAATTCCCCGCCCTCCCAGTAACCTCTGATTTAGTCTTTTTTCAATTTTACCTAGTCTCTTCTACATTATAAAACTGCAAAGAGTTAGTTGAAAGGGAATGTCACTTGCACGCATTCTCCTAAGACTCCTCTGCTGAGGCATGCTTTTTGTTCTCAAGTTCTCTAACCCTTGTGAGATACTGCTATTTCATGTCTGTCTTCTTAGCCCTACAAAATGGCTCCCTTTGTGCCACTTGGCCAGGACCCCAAGGCTGGCCACACATGACTGCACGTCGTGATCAACAGAGAGCAGATGCCCAGAAAAAGTGGAATCTAAGCTTCATCCAAGGCTCGAGGAAGATCCCTGAGATGTCTATAACCCACCTCACAGAACAGAATGCAATTAGCTGAGACAATGTGGACACCTTCCATAAACCCAAACCCTTCCACCAAGTTAAGTAAGGGCTTGATAAAAGGTTCCTGTTCAAACACCATGCCCTGTGCCCCCATCTCCAAAATGCAATAGGATGAATGGCAAGAAAGGCCCCAGCTTTCCAGGTGGAGATACTAGAGAAGAGACAATGGATTCTCCGGCCCCGCCCAAGAACAGGAAACCTCCTTCTCAAAGGAACTGGGGCCAGGGATGAACTCATTTGGCAAACGTCAAAAAGGGATGTGAAGAAGGAAGGATGCAAAAACCGAGGTCCGAAGCTTTGGGCGCAGAAAACCCATCCTGGATGGCTGCTACTCTCCCTGAGCTCAGAGGTGGGCGCGGGGAAGGGGGAGGAGACGGGGTCTCTTTGTTAGCAGAGGGTAGGCACTTCGAAGAGGGGTTGGGCGGTTGAGTCCTGAACCGGAGTGAAAGGTCGCGATGACCAGCCCCGCCCGACCACAAACGCACCTGCCAGGCGGGCCCGGTGGGGAATGGGGCACCGCGAGTGCAGGAGCCTGCCGGACCCGGCAGACACAGTCACAGGATTACATCGCTGAGCCTCAGCCCAGGGTAAGCACAGCCCCGGGCCAGTGGCTGGAGCGCGTGGCCCGGGGGTGGGACAATGGGGCCTGACCGAAGGCGTCCTGAAGGCCCCACCCCCCACCCCCGGGCACTCAGGAGACTAAGACCATCACCCTGGGGCTGGGCCAGCCTCACCGCAGAGCGCGGAAAGCGAACCCGCCCGCACGTTGCGAATGACGAAAACCCGCCGTTTGCCGAGGGAGCGGCTGGCCCCGGCCCCCCGGCCCCCGCTCGGTGGGAGGAATGAATGGAGAGAACAGCGGGATCGGGGCGGGGCCGCCTCGCCCCGCCGCACAAAGCGGCGCCCGCGGCCGAGCCCCGCAGCCCGCCCCAGCGCGAGCGGGACGCACCGGGGACATTATCGCCAACGACCCGCGCCGGGCCAACTCGGCCCGCTTGCAGCCGCCTTGCGGCCCCTTAACCTCGTGCGGTTCGGGCGCCGCCTCGCCGTCTCACCGGGAGCTATTCCTGCTGTTGGGGTCGACACCCTTGAAAGTGGTGGTGGTGGTCATGGCGCCGAGGAGCGAGGTAGGCTGGCGCGGAAGCAGAACGCCGAAAGCGTTGGACGCGACTGGCCCAGAGGAGCCCCAGACCCACTGCCGGTTACCGCCGCAGGAGCCTCCGCCACCGCCTGGCTGGCCGGCCGACGCTTTTATAGAGCTCACAAGCCCCACCCCCCTAGCCGCCGACATTGGCCGATTTAAATGGATCTCTTTGTTCCTATTGGCTTCCTGGAGTGTCAAGCACCGCTCACTGTCACGACGGTTTGCAGTGGCCAGGGTTGGGTCTAAGCCCGCCCGCTTCCTGGACAGGGCAGGACTATAGACATTCTCCCCACCCCCACCCCAAAATCTTGGAGCTGATTGGGCACGAGTTGAACCTGCCCTGTGCTGGGTACAAGTCCTACTCACTGTCAATTTAAAAAGTTACCTGATAGAAAAACTCGCTCTGGGAGAATTAGAACCCGCAAACCGAGGGCAGATTTGTCACTGTTACCATTTACTCATTTACATTTACGGTGGGATAGTAAAGGACATTCTCTTTAAGGAACGAAAATTACTGCTACAAGTTGACATTTACTTTTACTGAATACCTACTGTGTGTCCCATTTGGAAACCTAACAGTTCCAAAGCAGTAGCCCTATGAGTCAGCAACAGAAATCACGCCAAGATGATCCTTTTTTAAACGACTGGAAATTCTTAACATTTTAATGTTATTATTTAGCTATAATGAGTGGTGCATGAGTTGAACCAAAATTACAGTCATTCCGATTTGGGGGCCTGTTCTAAAACTAGTTAATACCCAGCGACTTGAAATGGCCTCATTCCCATCCACCAAGACTATGGGATCAGCCAGGCTTTTGCAGCTGTTTATAACCCTTAAGTCATGACTCTTCCACCTGTCTGGGTAAATCTCCCTGCAACAAATGCAGACACACTTGGAAGACTCAGGAATGACTGTTTATAAGATCATAATAGGAAAGTCTTGGGTAAAGGAGTGCAGGCATTTGATGTCATGCATATTTCCTCAAGGCCGATGTCTTTTCCTAGTCTCAGTATTTCCACACAAATTGAACTACATTCCTCTTTGTGTGGCCCTCTTCCAGACAGTTGAAAGTCTCTTTCTTAGCATTCTCAGTTAAAAAGCCCTCCCAGTAGGCTTTCATGAAAAAACAGAGGGAAGTTCCTCTCCTCTAGAAAGCATGATAATGCATTTATGTGCTCACCACAACACCATGAAGAACACCATTTGTTTGGGTTAGAATCTTCCCATTCTTAAAGGCTGAGCCTAAGTTTTCCAAAACCTTAAAAAACAAAACCAGAGCTGAGGTTTTGTTTTGTGGCTGTGGCTCAATGGTAGAATGCTCAGGCACAGGGTTCAATCCTCACCACACATAAAAATAAAATAAAGATATTTTGACCCACCTAAAATTAATATATATATTATATAATATATATATTATATAATAATATATATATTTTATATATATATATATATATATGTATATATATAAATAAAAAACAGCCTGGTGAGGTGGCACATACCTGTAATCCCAGTGGCAAATTACCATACAGTATTGTGACCTGATCCATAGTTAACATTACTTCTAAAGAGGTCATGCTTACTGAACAGATTGGTCTGATGGAACTGGTTTTGTTTTGTTTTGCTGGGGATTGAACTCAGGGGCACTCAACCACTGGGCCACATCCTCAGCCCCATTTTGTGTTTCTCCTTTGCTAGCAAAGCAATAAACCTTCTTTTTTCCTTTTTCTCAGGATCTTGTCTTCGTTATTGGATTGGTGTAAAGGACCAAGCTTTGGGTTACAGTTTCCTCATTTATAAGGTTAAAAAGGTACCTAGTGGGGGTTTTTACCCTTGTTTTGTTGGTGGCACTGGAAGTTGATCCCTGGGGCACTTTATCACCATTTTTATTTGGAGACAAAGCCTTGCTAAATTGCCCAGGCTGACCTTAAACTTGCAATCTTTCTGCTTCATCCTCCTGAGTAGCTAGGATTGCTGGTCTCCATAGTTTTTGACTTTTTTGTGTTGGTTTTGTGGTGCCGCAGTCTGGCTGGGCACAAAAATAACTGGGAGGTCACGAGCCACTTGTAGGTTCAAACAGGAACTACTTTATCGCCCGAATCCAATGGGAACTCTCCAGAACTCCACCAAAACTCCGCAAGAACCAACGGGAACCCAAAAGGAACTCTGCAAGAACTCAACGGGAACTCAAAAGTAGCAGGCACCCGAGGTAGCAGGAGCCGCCTTATTGCCGGACAGCAGAGGTTTATATACACAACTGAGTACACAGCTTGTTTCAATTTAGCATCATCCATCCAGTTACAGCAGTCAGTCATCATCCCAATAATTATACACAGCTTAACTTAATCATCATCATCCCAATGTCTCGCCGGCATAACCTCTCAACCACTCCCTCTGGCAAAATGCCAGGCACCATCCCAACTTGGCCGTGGCCCCCAACATCTCCCCAACTCTGTTTAATTAAACAAGTATGTGGCTTAGGGATCGTGCCTATCTTAGGTTGTCCAATACTACATATGGTCCTTACCCGTCATCAGATGAGCTGACCTCGAGGTGTCAGCCTCCAGTCTTAGGTTGGTACCATTGCAATTGGATCTTACCCGTCATTGACTACCGGCCCAGCATTTAGCCATACTTGTGGATAGTGGTTTTTACACAAACACCATAAACAACCTGCTACAAGCAGAAAGGGGAGGATACAAAATGCCACGATATCAAGCCATTTTGGAAAAATTGTACCATCGATGACACCATCAGCAAAGATACCCCAGCACTACCACAATTTGCTGTACCAACAGATAATTTACAATGCATACAAGTGATACATAGTCCAGGCAAGTTTTGCAAGTAGTTCAAAGCAGAGGAATCCATTAATATGTCCATTTCCTCACAAAGTAAATCAACTCCTTGATTGAGTATCACTTGTTGAGTTACATTATTCATTGATGCATCAGTTTATACAGTTTGTTGTGATAGCTATCGCAGAAGCTGTAGTTTGGTTTTATCTTTCTCTTCACCGGCACTGGGATGAAGATAGGAATTCTGGCAATGATGGCTAAAAAAAATTATGTTACATTCCAGCAGGCACTAAAAAAAAAGCAATTTTCTAAACAATTTAGTATCCTGAATAGAATTAGATATAATGGAAAAAAAAAGGTGAAAGTAAACAAACAGATCTGTTAACCTCCTTTTTTGTTCACATTTTAAAACAATCCTCAAAAGCTGTTTATCCAATTTAAATTAAACCATTTAAATCACGTGAATAAAAAAAAATATTTGGATCAATTTTTTCAGGAGCGCTCCTCATATATAATATATGGACATATGCACATACAGACATACAACACAAAACACAAGTGTGCACACACAACACAATACATACAACACATAACATAATAGTAAAGGCCTTGTAGCTTTTCACAGGTGAAATCTCCATTGCAATGTTTAAAAACTCCACAGTCAAAAAATAGAACAAATCAGAAAAACATTAACCTAGGTCTGTATGAGCTCAAAAAATAAAATAGAACTTCATGGTGTGGGAGAGGGCAATAATAAAATAGATATTGAAAAAAGCATCCTGGTTACCACCTGGGTTTGACTCTTCTTGGATATCCCATCCTTCTTCCTGTAACTTGCATATGGGTCTGAAGGTATTCCCACAAGCAAGCCCCAAGGTTTTTTACATTTGAAATAGGCCTTAATGGTGTTCATTATTCATTAGCCTCCAGGTGTGGGAGAACCACTGTTGCATATGTAAGGATAGCTAAACTGAAGTTCTGGATATCAGCTGTTATGGATTTGAGCCAAGTCATCTCCTTTTTGGTCTGTAGAAATCGCTTTAGTTAGTCTCTCTGGAATCCAAATCGGCTGCTGTTCTCCCTGTGGAAACACACAAACAGACCCCCAACTCCAGACAATCACTGCGTCAGGACCTTTCCATTGTCCTGTTAGAATATCCTTCCAAAGTACCTTGGGCTTATGTACATTTTTTGGACAAATGTGCCTTTCCGCAGCACTAAGCCCTGATGAATCCAAATTTTAAAAGTTTAGAGTAAAAAGGGTTATTTTAAGTTTATCTTTGGGGGATTTTTTACCCCTTCCCAATTCCCTCTTTTTGCTTTAATAAGTACATTTTAATAGTTTGATGAGTTCTTTCAACTATGCCTTGTCCCTGTGGATTGTATGGGATTCCTGTTATATGAATAATGCCAAATGATGAGCAAAATTGCTTAAAAGAGGTAGAAGTATAGCCAGGGCCATTATCTGTTTTTAACTGTTTTGGAACACCCACAGTGGCAAAATTTTGTATGCAATGAGCTATAATATCTTTAGTTTTTTTCTCCAGCATGAAGGGAGCCCATCAAAAATCCGGAAGAAGTATCAACTGTAACATGCAAATATTTTAATTTTCCAAATTCTGGCAAGTGTGTGATGCCCATCTGCCAAATATGGTTAGGTATCAGTCCTCTAGGATTGATTCCAAGATTAACTTGAGGTAAAAAGGTCACACAATTTTGATATTGTTTTATTATTTGTCTAGCTTGTTCCTTAGTTATTTTAAAATGCTTTTTAAAGTATTTGCATTGACATGGAAGGATTTATGAAAATTTGTAGCTTCTTCTAGCGTAGAAAAAATATGTATGTCATGTGTAGTTTTATCTGCTAAATCATTGCCCAAACTAAGGGCTCCAGGCAATCCTGTATGTGCCCTGATATGTATTATAAAGAATGGTCCTTTTCTGTCCCAGATTAGACTTTATATAGTGGTAAAACAAAGAGAAAACAGTAGAGGAAGGGGAAAATCTACCAGCATCTTCAAGGGATACTATAGCATTAACTATATACTGACTATCGGAAAATAAATTAAATACAGAATCTTTAAACATCACAAAAGCTTGTAATACTGCATTAAGCTCTACCTTTTGAGCTGATTGTTTGGGTACTAAAAATGTAAAAGTTTGATCAGGGGTAACTATTGCTGCTGTACCATTATTTGACCCATCAGTGAATATATTTGGAGCATTCATGATAGGTGTTTTTCTTGTCATTTTTGGAAAAACTACAGGATGCGAAGACCAAAAAGACAACAAAGGATTAGATGGTA